TATTTTTGATATGGTAGAACTTAGTAAGCAAATTGTTATGTATCTTCTTATAATTGGACTTAGGTTATGAGTTATGCCTTATGTACTATTATGAATCTTATTATATTAGGTTAATATTTTGACAATGTTATGTAACCGGTTATATTATGTGTGGAAGAAAAAATGTTCTAATTATTAGATAATGCTTTATGTTTGGCTTAATTAAGTCAACCATATTTTTATATGTATGTATATTATCTACATATAACATTTATGCACAAAAATATATTATGTAGTATTATTAGTGTCAATCGGTCGGGTTCGGGTAAGTTGGGTTGCGGGTCAAGCGGGTTGCGGGTTAAGCGAGTTCGGGTCAAGCAGGTTGTGGGTCAATCAGGTTACGGGTAAATCGGTTTCCGGGTCGTGCGCTTTGCAGGTCTTTGACTTTTAGTCAAATCGAGATGCGGCCAGGTTACGGATCGGGTTGGTTTGGCGGGTTACTCGGGTTGGGTCATGTTTTGACACCTATAATCAAAACCATATAAGCAAAGCCATCACAAGAACTCTGTCTAAGTATTTTCCATGGAGCAGGAAACTAGATCATACCGGTCAGTTCAACCAGAAAAATCGGGAACCGAACCAAAAACAAAACGGTAGGCTTTGTACTAAAAGAATTACCGTACTGGTCGGTTTTTACGGTTCAACCGAAACAAAAAGAAATACCACCCGATTTTGCTCAAGTCGGTGGTAGGCTATTTTTAAAGAAACGTTGTCGTTTTATGTGACGAAATTGAAAAAAAAAACCCCAATGTCGAAACTCCAAGAGCCTAACGGCCAAACCCTAATCGATTGTTCTCCAGTTTCACCCTGCCGCTCCTCTTCCCTTCTCAAGCTCACCCTTACCTCTGGCGACCGGGGAGAAGAAAACACCGCCATGTCGAGTCTCCCTCCCCTTCTCGACCGCCCTTCATCGTTCTCCAGCTCAGCTCTGCCTCTGGCAACCGGAGAGAAAGACAAACTCGAGAAGATGAGATGCCGCCGAGTCTCCTCTCCTCCTCGACTGGGGACTGCCCTTCATCTCCAGGATCCAACTCATCACTACCTCTTGCGACGGGTGAGAAGGACGAGCTCGAGAACCCGTCGCGCTGAGTCTCCCTCCCCTGATCAGTTCACGCGTCGGAAATGTTGTAGCAAATAAAACTAAAGAAACTAAAAATGCCGATTTATTCTTTTATGATAGATAAAATGTAGACACAAAGTACATATTTATAGGAGAAATTATATAAACTCTTTCCCTCCTGACCAACGTAAACGAATCATAATCTGATTTCTAAACAACAACTTCCTCAACAAGAAATAATAATACCAAATAAACCATAAATTGTCCCAAATAAACATAATAATAAATAATCAAAAGTCCAACATGGCCCAGCAAGTTTGAATGGATCAATCCTCTCCCTTTCAGGCAACCTCGGCTTGAGGTTGCTCATCATTGTCCATTACGCAGTTGTAGCAGAGACCATCATGACGACGTTTGGCAGCTTCCTCCAGAGTTAAGTAACAAATGACTCACCTTGCCACCATGGATCCTCGATTCTACTGTGATGAAGGCGGAAGTGGTGCTAGAGTGGGACTTGGAACCACCTTGTGTTGGAATGCCACTGGCCCGTACGCCGTCCCTATAATGGCTCCCACTCAATCCGAATTTCCTCCTCTCGAATCATGACCAAGCGGTAGGCCTCCCCGCTATTTTGCGATTCAAACGCGCGACTATAAGTAGAATTCTTGGACTTGAGACCTCCCATATAGGTTCCCATAATTGCATCCTTACTCCACCAGCTGAAGAGATTCAATAGCTTCTCAAAAGCCTGCTGGTAATCTTCCACTGTCCCTGTTTGCCTTATCTTAGCCAAGGCTTCATGTGTCGTAGCCTTCTCAGAAGCTTCATACCTCTTCATAACTGTGCTCGAAAATCTTCCCATGTCATGTCCATGTAATTCTGGACAACTTGGAAAATTCCAAGGTCGCAATTTGACCTCGAAATAAGGCTGTGGCATCCTTCTCACTAGTCTGGATCCTCCCCAGCTCAGTGACTCCTGGATCCTGCATGCTCGGCCTACTCTCTCCTGCTTCCAAGTGGGTCAATTACCTAGCGGCTTGTAATGAGCCCAATTCAGATGACCCATCACTCCAAAACCGACCCCTATGGTCTTAGGCCACCTCCATGACTCCTCCCAACCCTTTCCCATTCGATCCAACCCGCTTATTGGGCCTGTTCGTTCCCCGACATGTCAGGGCTCAGTCGACCCCATTCCCCTACTTGAGATGCCTACATTATGTTTCTTTTGACGCCCAACAGAGGTCTTGGGACTAACCTCACCATGTCAGCCCACTCCTTTGCCCTGCGCCCATGACGCTTCTCGACCTTCCTCATTGGCATCACAACCCCTCCATCATTATCATTGAAGTTCAGATTGCCACATGCCATCCCATGAAGAGTGATAGCTCCATCCTGTTCTCGTGTCCCCGATTGGTCGGCGCGACTCTCCTTCTCGATTGATGAACCCGACGCCGGCGTTTGGAGAATCGCCTCGTTACCTCCCCCCTTCGCTGAACCCTGCTTAGTCTCATAAGCCTTGAGCTTCTCCTTTGGTGCGATCATGTCGGTAGTGAGCCTTGTATCGTTCTTTCCCTTGGCCAAACTCCCAACGAGAAGCACCTCCATCCGTCGCATGAACGCCTCCTGATCCTTTAGCATCGCATCACCCATCTGTTTGAGATCCCGTTGCAGCTCCATCTGCATCGGGTTGCCCATCTTCCCCATACCTTGCTGCAGTTCCTTGCTCGCTTAAATTTGGAGAGAGTTATGTCCGTCCTGGAGAATTCAGATGTCAGATCAAAGTATTACTCATTCCACGACAGCCTCACGCAGCTGCTGGTTGAGCTCGTCGACCCGATCCCTCATCTTCCAGAGTTGCTGGAGGACCTCCTCCTTGGCGAATGGCTCGCTCTAACTACAACATCTCAATCGAAGGCCAAGTATTACCGACGACCGGGTGTAGCATAGGGTAAGCAAGTAGTAAAATTATCGAATGACGAGTCTCCTAGGTGTATCTTACTTCCAGTTAAGGTTTCGTTATCTAGCCAACCTAGAATAGTGATTAGAAAAACTAAAATAACTAACCTAGCTAACCACTAACCTAGCTAATTACAAGTGGTGGAACTCTCTTAACTTGAATCCCCGTAGTTATATCATTTGGATCAATGTTGAGTACCATCCTAGCTCGATCGACTCACTACCCTACCGTTGGAGATTGACTCACTTGGGATTGACCCAGAATGACTAAGTGATGGATGGTAGTGCACTATTCAACCTAAAGAAACTTTATATCGTTAGGAGATCGATCAAATCAACTCCTTCGAGTATTACCTAGACGACATAGAATGAAGAGTGACCCGAAGATGCCAATAATGGGCTCTAAGGGGATGATCTCCCTTCTGGTTTAAAAGCTCAATTGACATGAAATGGAATCCAAAATCATGCCATTCACGAAAACCATTCATCAAATTCATAAAATCATCAATCAAACATAGAATATGTCACATACATCAATTTCAAACCAAAATCTAGACCTAGGGTTCATCAACCTAAAAGAAAGAGGTCTAGTTTATAGAGAGAGAAGAGAGATTACAAAAATAGGTCAAGATCTTCATTTTTTAGGCTTGAATCTTTGACGCCAAGATCAACCCAAGCCTCCAAATTCCAATTAACCTCCAAGATCACTCAAGATCACTCTTTTTCTCTCTCTAAAACTCCTCTTTGATGTTTTGGGTTCAAACCCTAGAGAGAGCCAAATTCTTCTCCCAAAACCATCTCCCCTTCTTTCTCCCACAAGCTGCCTTTTTATATAGCCCGAGGGTAGATATCACGGGCTGAACATCACGACCGTGACATCGAACTACCGCCTGTGATCTCATCCAAAGTCCCTGCCATTTTTGACCAACTTCATGGCCTTATCACGACAAAAGAAACAAAATCTAGCGTAAAATAGGTCGAAGAACGATGATTACCAAGTCAAATGATCAAGAAATGAGAGGGAAAATATGTGTAACTAACAACCAAGGAGTGGTGGAGGTTGTAAAGGAGCAAGATTGTGCTCGGATTTCGATCCTTGGCAGCCACCACTTTTGTGTTACCCCCTTGGTGGCCACCGACAAGGCTGTAAGCTAGTATTAAACACTTCAAGAGTTTGTCGGGTATCTATGGGGGCTGGGGTTTGCCGTTGCCAGGCGAATTTCTCGTCATATTAAAAATTGTGTACTTATGCCTGAATCGGCGACCTGCTACCCAGATGAAGAAGTTGTGTTCTTCTTCCGCAACATCGTTCTTGGCTTTGTCGAAAGCAAGCTCTGAAATAAAACCTCCTACGTAGATGAAGGCGTTGTGTTCTTTTTCCGCAGCATCGTTTTGAAATAAATTTTGTAGCAAATAAAACTAAAGAATCTAAAAATTCCGATTTATTCTTTTATGATAGACAAAGTAGACGAATCCTAATCCGACTCCTCAACAACTTTCTCAACAAGAAATAATAATATCCCAAATAAACATAATAATAATAATAATAATAATAATAATAGTAATAGTAATAATAATAATAATAATAATAATAATAATAATAATAATAATAAAGAAAAATAACCAAAAGGCCAACACGGCCGAGCAAGTTTGAATGCATCAAAATCTCTAGACATAGTGACAAAATTCAACATGTTTCTGGCTCTTTCCTTTCAATTGACAGTAAAAGGTGTTTACAGTTTTGGAGAGCTGCTGCTTGAGATTGTTACAGGCAAGCAGAACAACAGAAGAAAAGCCTCTTAATATACAGAAAGCTTGGCAAAGTCGGTAAGTTTTTCATTCAAGAGCCTGAATCATGTAATGCAGTTTCAAGAGGCAATGATGTGGTTATCCTGGATGGGACCAACTTTTTCAGACGTGGAGATAATTCCAGGCGGGAAGTGGAAGAAATGTACAATCCAAACCAAATGTTGCACAACCACCACAACAGCAACCCCAGTCCCCAGGTATGACTTCTTGAGAGTTGGGAGTTTTTCATGTCGCAATCTGAACCTAAATCAGTTGCTATTGTTGACAACAGTTCTTTCCACCCAATATGAGGTCTGCTTGGTTTCACTAGTGGATTGGCATTGGATTATTGAGTTGAAGGTAGGTAGGTTACAAGTGGAGCCCATATATATATTGGGATTTCCTAAGGTAACTTGAAGTTAGGTAACTTGAATTTTTTTACCTGCTATAGCAGGTTTTACAGGTCGCATTACGTAAAATACAATAGGCATTACGTAATGGTTACGTAACGTATTGTTACCTAACGTAACAGTTGTAAAAGGTCATTACAGAAGCCTTACGTAATGGACGGTTATTTTACGTAATGAGCACCAACATCGTATTACGTAAAGTGTAAAGTCATTACGGAAGCCTTACGTAACGCTTCCGATTTAACTATTACGTAAGAGATAACTATGTTCCGTAACCTTTACGTAATTGAGGGCTTTTTTACGTAATGAGTATAAACATTGTGTTACGTAAAGTGCTAAGTCATTGCGGAAGCATCACGTAATGCTTGTGATTTAACTGTTACGGAATAACTAACTATCGTTTCGTAAACTTTACGTAATGGATGTGTATTTTACGTAACAGTTGTAAAATGTCATTACGGAAGCCTTCCGTAATGGAAAGTCCTTTTACGTAATGAATATTAACCTCGTGTTATGTAATGTGCTAAGTCATTACGGAAGTCTTACGTAACGCTTCTAATTTAACTGTTACATAAAATATAATTATCGTTACGTAAGCTTTACGTAATGAATGTGTATTTTACGTAATGAGTATTAAGTACAATAACTAAATAATAATAAAAAAATATACACGAAAAAAAAAAGAAAAAGGTAAACAAGACACATAAAATAGAATAAGGAAAGTTACCAAAAAAAAAAAGTTAGAAAAGGGAAAGAAATTTTCCCGCAAACTAAAAGCAACCGCCACCTCTAGTTGCCGTTATTTCTTTTTTTGTATTTTATGTTTTTTCATTTTTAATCAATGACTTAAAGTGATTAGGATTTATTTCAATGGTTAAGATTTAATCAAGTTACCTAACTTAAAATTATACCCAAGTTACTGTAGGGAATCCCATATGTATTTTGTGATCTTATGCCATGTAACAAGATCAATTCCCTTCTCATTCTGACCTTGCAAATGGCGGCCTGCTTGCTGCCATGCATTGTTTGCAGTATGAACTGTGAAGTAAAAGTAACTTGGGAACTCGGAAGTGTATTCAGTTAAAGACATGTAAAATAGCATGCTAGAGGGGGGCGTCGCAAACCTTGAAAACGAACTACTTCCCAAATTAAGTAGAGCATTCTCCATGCATCACTAGAATGAATTCATCTTACTGTTTGCTGTTGGACTTTTACACTTGCACCAAAGAGTGATGAGAGATCCCGAGAAATAAGATTGGTTGACACCATTCGACTTGTGGTTCCAGAGACCTTTCGATGTCAGCAGAAATCAGCTTTCATTCACACAGATATTCAGTTACCTAGAGTAATTTAAGGATCATAGACCCAATAGAGCCACAATCCAGTCTACCGAGTCACTACAAGGTTCCCCATCAATCCCCCACTGATCTCATAATGCGAGGCCATGGAGAAACCAGCTTGTACAGCAAGTTCCTCCAACTCCTTTCCTGCACATGAGATGATTATCACATGCTTCAGAGACGTTGGCTGTGCAAATTATCGTCATAACAAAATGCAAAACGATGGCACGAATCTTTTGGAATACAAAGTGTTTAGAGCCAAACCAGTTAAAAATTCTCTAATAGAGTTCTTCAAGTATTCATACTCCTCTGCCAGTCCATATCCGGTTGCCACAGGTACAACTACATTGTCGATCATCCATTCCTAGAAACGGCAACAGTATACAAGAAGATTGGAAAACATCAAAGATAGCAAAGAAGATACAAAAGAACAATTCTGGCCAGGAGTTTGGAATTGACTATATGCTCTACAGCCAGAAAACTTTGCAGGCCATTTGAAATGTAGTTAAGACAACGGTTCATTTACTCAGTAGTACCTGAAACGAGGCAACAAATGGTTTGGTGCTCTTATTGAAGTCCAGAATGGATGCTTTTCCCCCTGTAAATGTAACAAAATGTAAAATAAACTTGCACAAAGAAATAAAAAACGAAGTTCTGTGTCATTCTATTTGAGAAGGTGGAACCTGGTTTGAGGACTCGAAACATCTCCTGCATTGCCTTTTTCTTGTCCACCACATTCCGTAGACCATACCCCATGGTGATGGCATCAAATTGACAATTGGAGAAAGGCAAATCAGTGGCGTCGCCCTCTACAAACCTGAGATAAAAGTATATGGATCATCTCCCTTTGACAACGAAAATTGAGGCTTACATAACTATTGTTATTCAAGAAAAGCTGGAACTATTCTGGATAAACCACAATTGAAAAGAAATTCAGGTAACACTCTCATATGTAATTGATCTTCTAAGAAGTGATATATACAACTAGATACCAAAGAAAGACCATTCCACGTTCTTAACCGATGTACACAAAATTACTAATGCTCACTCTATGCTCTCGTAGCATGCTCTCCAGCGGGAGTTCTGCCGAGATGAAGCAACATTCAGCTGCTCTTTTGAGAAATCCACCCCTATTACCTACACATCGTCAATGAAAAGCCCGTCCTTATACAAGACATAGCAGGAGAAAAGGAGGGAAACATTTACCATTCCAATCTCAATGTCACAATTGCATTTGCATGAGAAACAGACCTTGCCAGTAGGCCCAACTTTCTCAGACAAAAGAAACGTCAAATCCCCACTTCCACAGCATATATCCAGAACTGTGTCCTTCTCCTTGGCTCTGCCTCGAAGAAACCCAGGTTTATTTATGGGAATCTCGATATAGGAGGAGATTAAAAGAGTGAAAATGGTAGAAAGCAAGCATACCCAGTCCAAGAAATGGCCATTCGTTTCCACACTCGATGCTGGCCCAAGCTCAGCAAATCATTAAGCTGCAAGTTCCCAAATGAAACCGCGAATGGAAGTTCAAAAATTTATGCCCGAAATGAAACAACCAAACAAAATTGGTAATTAAGACGGGGAAAAATTTGGAAGCCTACATTGTCATAGACAGGAGCGATACGATTGAAGAGGACCTGCCGATCGCCGGAGCAGCGAACTGACACCCGACGGAAGCAGGAGGCTGTCGGAAGGCTCGCGAAGGAAGAGGATAATCCGAACTGTAGAGACGCCATGTCAGCTCCCTCTCCCTATCTTGAACAGATACAATTGTAATATGAATATCTGCATAAATTCTAATGTTAGTGACAGTGGGTATTGGAAATTATTTCTAAGACTACTGTAGCTGATGGATTTTATCCAAACGAAAGAGTGCTTGTTTGCATCAACACGGGAGCAGATCATGTCAGTAACTGATGGATCAGTAACCGATCAGTAATCTCTTCTCCTGTCTCCACATGTTAATCATCTTTTTTATTTAAATTAAATGCGAAAGAGCAATAAGGTAAAATTTTATTTAACTTTATTTATTGCTGACACTTATTGTTAAGCAGACCACATTAGCGTCTCCTTCTCTCTCCTCGAAAACCTTTAATTTTCCTTCTCTCAAAGCGTAATTTTAAAGCATCAGTTCCAACCCAGAGAAAAGTATAAAAATGAAACTCAATTACAACGAATAAGTTATATTAAATCGTCATTGTATCTAAATTTATCATAGAAATTTCATAAATATCTAAGCATAATACATGTGAAATCAATAAAATTTTCATGCACCTGGGTAAAGCTAGGCTTAACCAGTTTAATCCAATTCATCCATTAATTTTTAACCCACTTGCTTAAATGACTCATTTGTGGAATCGAGTGACTACCTTGGTCATAACAAATTAGACTGAACAAATTTGTTGTATATTTTTTAATGGGTTATAGGTATAATATACTCCTTTATTTTTTTATATATATATATAACTTGATTATTCACTAATGCATGCTTTTTCAAACATATTTGACTCAAATACTTTTATATAACAATGAATGACTCTCTAAATTTCGCTTAGTTTTCAATGAAAGATGAGATGTTGTTAATTGATTTATGAGCTCAAATATACCTCCATACCACTAAAGCTACAATCATTGTGATCTTTAGTTGTTCACTCAACTTTGCCAATGTTTACAGGTTCATATTTTGCTATGAAATTTAGAAAAAGAAACTTTAAATCTCACACATTTAAAAGTAGGAGATAGAAACTATGTAAATAAGTGATTGCAAATTTATTATTTTGAAACCCAAAACTGAAGAAACTTAGATAATATCATTTCACAGTAAATTAAAAAGTCTTATGGGAAAGTGATACATTAGCGTTGGATGTGGTGGTGAATGAACAACTAATGCCAAACGTGGCCTAAAAAATACCCTCCACTATGAATTGCAAAAAAACATCCTTCCCAAACCCAATTTATTATCAGTCAAATCATATTTGGTAATTTCACTTGAAGGTCATACCAATAAACGACTATTTAGTTTGAGTCTAAATTAGACCTATTACATTGGGTACCAAAAAAAAAAATGAATATCAACTCTAATTTAATTTTTACAATTTTTTTTGTATAACAAACATAAATGTGGAAACACCGATAATGAAGGTATGAATTGGTTTAATGCGAATAGCTAGATAGTCGATTTTTTATAGGTATATTTATATGGACTCAAATATATTCAAATTGTGGGTTCGACCCAAATAAATGTTTTTCTGCTCTATCTCTCTCCCCCATTCCATAATTAGTAAATTAAATTAATCCGACCAAGGGGCCGGGTTAAAGCTAGTTTTCTCTTAAATTTGTGAAAATATATATTGGTAAGATTTAAGAAAAAGTGAGTTCGAGGAAAAATTAATATATTTTTTATTAATAGTCTTTTATACTGTTCTTTTTCTATTTCCGGAAGTATTTTTGGATCCTCGCAATGCATGTCATGAAACATTGGGTTAATTTGTTAGATAAGTTATCAACATAATAGTTATAAGTTCTTTATGTAAATAATCTCAACTTATGTCCTAACACCGAGCTAGCTAATCAACGAATTGCAACTGTAGTGTAGTGATAAACCTAAGAGATTCTAGAATCAAAGCCAGGGATCAGTGCGGTCATAAATCAGTCATATGCAACTATAGGTTTTATGCTAGAAATTTCATATGTTACTTGAACAAAGTAATATTCATGGATTAAGTAGAGTAAGATAAAAAGCATAGTACCTCAAGATGTGACTTTACTTTGCTCAAAATGGAGCTGCAGAAGGGAAACTTGGAATTATGAGTCCTTACTCCAAATCTTAGAATACAAAAGAACGAAGTTAAAACTAAACTTGATTTTCCACAGAAGCAAACAAAAACACACTAAGCAGATACAACTTAAACCTTAAGGATATTACGTCCAATTAAGGAATCCTTACACTCACCCAGATTCTACCAACATCCACAACCCATTAGCATAGTTCTATTTGTATGACATAACCAATCATCCAATCTCCACAAGCAATCCTTGTACAAGTTAATAACAACCACCACTTCTGTTGTTAGCCTGTAACCAAAGCAAATTGGACTAAATTAATACTAATTGGCAAAAAAATACAGCAGCAGCAAGAAAATAGAGGGGGCAAAATGTTGCTTCTGAAACCCTACCGGAAATAGGGTTCAATTCTATCATTTGGAAAGAAGAACAGCAGAGGCTTCCAATTTCCATGCACACAAACGGTTGAACTTATCTATTACTAGTGAGAGCAAAGATTTAACGAAATCCGAGATGGCTGGCTGTTGTTGACATCGGGATGAATTGCATAGATCATTTTAGGAAATCAATCTATGAAAATGAGAAGAACGGAAGCCAAATCTTGCCTCTGATTCGCGCACTGCATTTCTAGCAATCTACATGCACAAATCAGATTACGGAATCCGGAACTAAATAAGGCTCGAGATCAAGTTCAGAGAGTACCAGAAGAAATCGATGGAATGCGATCCATGATCGATCAGAGGATTAGGATTTAAGAATACAGCTGACGAGAGGAGAAAACGGCTTCACACGCCGGAGTTTAAGGTCGACGGATCGGAGAATACGGCTGATGGCGAGAGGAGAGCTCTTTCTGGATAGGATTTTTTTTTTTTTTTTGGTCATAGCTGGATAGGAATTAGTATGAACACGATAATTTGTCCACTGAGTGAAAATTGGGTTTCGGTAAAAATGGTCTTGTTTTCGAAGGAAATTTTTTTTATGTTGTTGGATTTTGTTGGGCTCTCAGCGGGTGTATGAACCGGCTCAAGATAGGGTGCATAATCATGGGTTATGCATCCATCAATAACCAAATCTGGACCCTTAATTTAGAAAATCCAGATCTAAGGATGGAGAATTAAAGGCTATTTTTATTTTCACTAGCTTTCTTAATTGACTCATATCTTTTTCGTTTTAACTCGGATTTTAAATTTTTTTGCACAGATGGAACGAGTTCACCGTGCTCTACAAAATGAGATCAATTTTCAATATTTTTTTAGGAAAAAAAAATTCTGGCCTCTCGGTACCAACTGCATACCATATGGTATCTTCTTCGTTTTTAATTCGTTTTTGAAAACGTTTGCACAGCAGGGACGAGTTCATCATGATCTACTGGATCTACAAATTTCTGGGTGAACAAAATACAGGACCAAAAAATACCACACAATACCATCCTGGTACGGGGTGGTATTGTATGGTATCTTCTTCATTTTTAATTCGATTTTGAAAACGTTTGCACAGAAGGGACGAGTTCATCATGATCTATTGGATCTACAAATTTCTGGGTGAACAAATTACATGACCAAAAAATACCACACAATACCATACAATACCACCCTGGTACGAGGTGGTATTGTGTGGTATACAATGTTAAAAGTAGTAAATTACAATTAATATAGTTCTACTATCATGTATTCAACCATCCTACAGTATTGGTTTGTTCATACCACCATGGTACGTTTTTCAAAACATAGGTATGCTTTTATTTCAATACCAGTCAATACCATATGGTATAGGCTGGTAAAAAATGGCTCAATTTTTTTTGTTCGAAAAATATATTAAAGTGGATATCATTTTGAAGAGCACAATTAATCTGATCTAACTGTGTAAAAAAATTAAATTTCGACTTAAAATGAGCGAGAAATCGTCCGTCAAAGATTAAAGAGGGAAAAATTAAAGGTTTTCCATGAGAGAGAGGATGCTGATGTCATGCTGATGTGGACGGGTTACTCATGGTTACTCACCATAAGGTTACTGACCTGATCCATTCCCGTATGAATCGCTGGATCATTCGCTGGCAAAAGCAAATTACATAAAAGCCCGGCGGTTACCTTAACCCCTTAAAGAAAACCCCTGGGCTTGGCCCATTTCCTTGTAGTGATTGAAAGAGTTCACTCAATACACTATTGTGACTAATCGAAAGTGGGTATATGACAATAAACTATGATTATTTGCTATATTTGAACTTTTCTAGAATACACATAATTCTTAATAAAAGAAAGTACTTATAGTATAATTTAAACTCATTCCCTTTAAATCTTTCAACTATAAACATAAAAATAAAAGCTCCAATATAACAGAGACACCCTACAAATAAGGCATAGTTATACAATGTAACTCGTATAATGTATGTAAATAATGTTCACTCATTTTTGTTGTATTATGCAATTGTATATGTTTATTTTGAGAGATAATAATCTCATTATAGTCAGCCTTAATATGGTATCACAACCATCATGATGACGGAACGTAACCCTAAACTATAATTTATGTTCCACTTCGTTTTTTCTTCTTGTTGACGAGTCTTACACAGGTTTTTCTAAACCATCCCCATCCCCATTTTTTGAAAATCCAAACCCATCTCATTCTCATATCCATATGAAGTAAGGTTTTATAAATCCATACTCATATTTGTGATTTTTGGGTACTCATAGGCAATACCCGCCTCGTATATCCAGTAATATTATGCCTATAATAAATACAATTAATCTTACTAAACATGTAATATAACATCAAATAGAGCTAATAAACTTTCAAATCAACAAAGATAAAACCATTGTTACTTCAAATTCAAAACATCCAATCCTATAACATCTATTTGTTCAAAAGATACTCATTGTTTTAGTATTCAATCATTAATTTTTTTTTTTTTTGTATAGAGATATTCTTTTTGGGCGAGCATGGGTATGAGTATGGGACGGGAGTGTAAAATCATACTTGCATCATCCCCATCATTTTCTGTGGATTTCAACTATCCATGATTTGTACCCAGTCAATACGAGTCAGGGGCGGTCGGATACCCACAATCGTGACTTTAATGTCATGCCTAGTTACGATCACTCAAACAACTACCCTCCCTCTCAAGTAGGGATGGCAATTTTGCCCATACCCATGGGTTTTTTACTATCCAACCCAATTGGGTTGGGTATGAAATCCAAATAGATGGATATGGGTAGAGTTTGATGGGTTTGTACCCATACCCATTTACTTTGGGTTCGGTTGGGTTTATAACAAATGGATTTGGGTTTGTACCCATGCCCAAATACAAATTACAGTTTGGTAACCATGTTCGCGGTCTAAAGATCACGATCGTGAACAGTGGTTGTGAACCTTATCAGGTGACCAAGAAGAAGGCATAAATTTTTGACACCCAATTCGCGGACATGGTGCATTTTGACCGTGAAAAAGATAACACCCATGACACAAAGATCACGACCGCGAACTTATCAAGGAGACCGCGATCTTGGAGCTTAAAGATGGTGTCAAAACGTGATGTTTCGGGCAAGTCAGCAACGTTCCAGCTGGTCACGGTCGTGAACATCAGGTCACGCCCTCGAGGCCATGACCACTGCCCGCAACCTATAAATACCCTTTTTCTACATTTGATAAAGGTGAGCCAACCTAGAGTGAGAAAGTTAGTGTTTTGGAGTGTTTTAGAGAGGAAAACACCTTGGGAGAGCTTCATTGAAGATCCAATCCACCCAAGGAGCAAGAAGAAGATGCAAGCAAGGAGAGGAAGATTGATTCTATCACTCCCTCTCTTCTAGTTTGTGTTTTATTTCTCTCTATGACTTGAATCTCTAATGGTTGTTTAGGGAAGATAAAACCTAGTTTATAGTTTGTGTATGAATGTTTATCTAGTCGAGTTCATTGCTTCATTTAGACTTAATTGTGCTTGGATAAGTCGCCCTAATCTTTTCTACTAGCCTACTTTATACGTTGGGTACAGAGTTTTAGGGTTATATGGGTATGCGCCATCTGGTAGATTTAGGTTAGATGATTTGAATAGGGTCTTGTGGTGGACGAGGCGACCGACCCCTACCACAAGAATGCCTTCCTTGATGGAACCCGGGATGAAACCTTGGTATGGACAGTGGATAGTACCCATTGAAAGGAGCTAGGTTCTTAAAGCCCTTTGATTCGGGCCTAATTTTACACTTTTTATCCTCGTTTCTCTTTGACGTTTGTGGCAATTGAGCTCCAAAAAGGGGTGGTTTTACACTAGGTTTCTTGTGTTCAATGTGTTTCATAGTCTAACAGGTAAAACCAACCCCAGAGTTGAAAGTTGGAAGAAAAGGAGCAAAGACCGGGCAAAGAGGAGGATTCAGTCGATGTTCGCGGTCCAACATTGGAGTTCACGGTCGCCAGGACCGTGAACTGGAACTACAAACCGCTAATCATGAGGCTTCTAGAGGGATTTTTGAGGTTACTAATGCCAAGGCAGTTCTCGCTAAGACCGTGAACTGGAACCATAAATCGTGAACCCTAGAAGTGAAGCAGTGCGTTTTGAACCAGTTTACCGAATTAAGGACGCATCCTGGTGTTCACGGCCATGAACTGAGGTCTAAGACCGTGAACTGATCAACGCGGACATGAACTGAAGTCTAAGACCGTGAATAGAGCCCGATTTGGGTATAAAAAGGAGAAGGGAGTTGGAGGAGAGAGGGTTTCTAGTGAGAGATTCGGGTTTCTTTTTCCTATTTTAGAGAGAGAAAGTGTCATTCAAAGGAGGAAGAAGGAGATTGGGTTTGCCCTAAGCTAGAGGAGGAAGATTCTTACCTCTCAAGGGAGATTCAAGCAAGGAGGAAGGAAGATTGTCATCTCTTCATGGTTCTTTCTCTCCTCTTTCTTGTTTTCCTTTGCCCAGCTATGGAATAGCCTACCTATTCACTTGGGTGTTGTGAACCCAGCTTGAAACATGTGAATGCTTGTATGTGTTGAATGATTTGTGTGTGGTTGTGTTTAATGTGAATGTGAAGGTATTATTCATGAATGATTGTGTTGCATGAAAGCCTATCAATCTAATTTCTATTATAACCTAGGTAGAGAGAAAACCCCCTTTCCTTTCTTTGAAAGAGGCTTGAATGCTGGGTTTTCTTGGGAAATTCATTGTTTCCTATTAGGTTAATGCAGGGCAAACCTCCTATTTCGTATTAGCACCTTGGGTTTGGTTGTGGGTGGCCGTCCGAACTCCGATTCGAGGGTGAAGTCTAACCAATCCTTAGTCAATAGGTTGACAGAGTCGCATTAGTGGCTTGGATCATATTCCCTTTCCTTGACCTAGAGACTATGAGGGTAGCTTTGGCTATTTGTTAGACTTCCCTACGGTTTACAGTCCCCTTACCACACACGACGATTCGACCCAACAAGTTGTAATTGTTAGCTAGAGGGAGCAACACCGGGGTGAACTCTTCTCTCATTTGGACTACCTCGATTTACTTTATTTTCTTATTTTCTTTTGTAGTTTTCTTAGTTTTAAAACCAAAAACGTTTGCTAGATAACAACCTGAGCGATGAAAGTAGGGGTACATGGACCGGTCCGGGTTTGAAAATTAAAACATACTTGCTCTATGCTGCACCCGACTAGAGCTTAATAACGTGGGCTCTAGTCGGGGTTAATTTGCGGTGTATCCATGGCGAGTCAAGTTTTTGGCGCCGTTCCCGGGTAACCGCGGTCCATTATTTTGAAAAGGTCGCTTAGTGTTACTCTAGCATTTTCTGTATGGCCTTTTTGTTTGTGTTTTGTGTTTCGTGTGTGTTTTGTTTACCACTCTTAGTCTTGAAGGGTGGTTTGTGTCGTGTTTGATTGTCCTTTTTAGTGTTTTTGTGTGTGTAGGTATT